GGCCAGGTTGGACACAGGGGCTTGGAGCAAGCTGCTCTAGTGGAAGGGGTCCCTGCCCGTGGCAGGGGGATGGAACTGGATGAGCTTTAAGCTCCCTTCCAACCCAAACCAGTCTGGGATTCTATGATCGTTGCCCTCTCACCAGCTCCTCGGCTGCTGTTAAACGGACTCAAGAACTGCTGAGCTCAGCAGTGCCTCACCAGGACCCGCAGATTCACGGCTTGTTTCCCTGCCTAAACTCCGGCAAGGTCTGACTTGATGGCACCTTGGCTTTCCTCCGCTGCTTTTTATTGTTTAGCTGCTTTTCGCTGCATCAGGTCTCGGGGGATGACAGTCTGTGACTCGGGGGGCCGGGGCTGGCCGGTGCGGGGTGCTAGCACCCCACCATGGGGTTTGGGTCCGTTGCAGCCCGGCGGTGCGCGGGGCAGGGGCGGGATGTGGGATGCGCGGGATGCGGATGGCCTCTGCTGGGAGCCGCCGCTCACTGCACCCGGGGCCAGCCGAGCCGGGGTTTACCTCCAGGAAGGAGAAGGGAGGCACAAACCTCTGCGCAAAGCCTCCTTTTTGTCATAGCCCATTGCTTTTGCTTAATTTCCCCCATGCAGACCCTGCTGCTCCAGAGACCTACGGCTCTTGCTGCCTTTGCACCCCTACCCAGCGGAAGGCAGGCAGGCACCCAAAGGCATCTGCCAGCACAACTGCCTGCAGACTGTGCTGGGGAACCAGATGCAGCAGGGGAGGGTGAGAGAGAAAAAAAAAAGAGGGGGAAAAATCCCTTCCTTGGCTTGGCATCTGTGCAGCACACATGCCAAGCAGTGTGGGAGCAGGGGGAGAGGAAGCGGGGGGCTATTTGGCACCCCCACAGCCCACAAACAGTTTGGGTTGGAGCTGAGAAACAAGCGACGTGTGCTAATGTAAAGTGTGTGGGGTTTGAAATGTGAAAAGCCCGTGCTGGAATTGAAAAGCATGCCGACCACTCGGCTCTGCAGGCTGAGTTCAGCAGCCGAAATCCTCCTAATGAAGGGGTGACTTTCTGCATATGGGCTATGTGGGGTGTGTTGTGAGAAGGGGACCCCATCTCTTATCTTTTTCAGGAGGAGCTTAAGGTGTCCTGGGACCATTCAGCTGCGGCACTCAGCTCATACAGCAACCCACTTTGTTCAATGTTCAAGCCTGTACAAGCTGCTCGAAGCAAGATATAAAGCAGGTGTTAGAAGCCTCTGGAAAGTTTGCTGTCAATTACTGTGATTTCCTCTTCCCGACAAAGACTTAAAAGCTGAATGGATCTTTTCAGTTATGTAAATGCACTTTTCCATAAATACTTATTTTGCAGCAGAAACCACACATGCACAAAAAAAAAGCCTGTGGGGGCTGGTGTGTGTAGTCAGGGACTGATCTAATCCTGCTCACGTCGGTGAGGTCGTGGGGGTATTGGGGCTGGCAGTGTCCTGGGTCAGCTCTGAGTGTGGGTGTCTGAGGCTGCCACCCCATTGTGGGTGCTCCCAAGGAGGTGTGCAGGGCATTTCTGCACCCCGCTGTGTGCACTCTGCTCTCTGGTGGGCAGTGAGGCTGGGACAGGATGTAGCTTTCAATCTTGCGGAGTCTGAATTGAACAGGAGTTGTCTCGCAGCACTGATTTATCAGGAGAAAACCTCCCTCCCGCTGTCAAATTTGAGAGGATTATATTTGCACCATGGCTGTGAAGACTAATCCATTGCTTTTTGCTTCTGAAGAGCCAGAGGTTTCCTGAGCTTCTGGACTGTGAGCTAAAACTCCTTTGCAGGCATGGCTGGATGTGAGTTTTCTCTCTTCACTGCAAAGGCTGTGCTCAAGGGAACAGCAACACAGTGGATGAGACTGGGAGGACTGGGCTTAAGGTTCGCTCTCAAACTGGTGGATGTCTGGTGGCTTCAGTAGATGGCAATGCATGACACTTGCAACGTGCTTTTGGGGAGAGAAATCTAAATTGTGGGGCAGGCTGCTTTTACAGGGCATCTTAAAAATCATTGGAGAACAAGAAAGTACTAAAGATCTTGTTTCTGTATCTCATTAGTTTTCCAGGGTGACTTTTAGTGGGTTAAGATAATTATTTAGAGGAATGATTTTTCTTTTATGCAATCTCTGCAATTCAAAAGCCATTCAAATATTCTTCCCCCGCAAGTACCTAAAGTTTAGCAATCTCTAGATGTATTTACTTATATACACTTAAAACTGATGACTGCCCCGATGCTGTTTAAGCCCATTCCATGATCTACTACAGCTTGATCCCATGTTTCCCATCTACCTTGCCCCATAATGGGTTGAATTGCTGTGTACGGGTAGGAAACTGCACCAGGTCTCCAGGAGCATCGTTTCAAATCTTCCTGTGGTCACTGACTTGCTGGGTTACTCATTAAATTTGGCTTGTGCTCACCTGTGTTTTCCTACCACACGCAGGGTTTGGCAAGCCGGGGCCACCGACCGAGTGTGAAGCACTTGGATGCCACAGTGACAAGGCTGTGTTTGTGCCCAGGGAGCATGATTTTTGGGGTGAGCTCCAGCCCTGCAGAGCAGATGTGTTGAAGAGCACATCATGTATGAGTCTCTTTTAAGTGCCCCCAAAATTCACTGAAGAAATTACCAGTATCTCGCTAGCGATCAAAGCCTCCCATGGGGACTGCTCCAAAGCGTGCTGAGCTTGGCTCGCTCTCTGCTCCGTAAGTTAGCCAGGGAATGACTTCCAGAGCCCCGCGGTGCTGCTTCTGCTCTTGCATTTGCAGGAATCACAGCAAGAATAAAGGATCCACTGAGGGCTGCTAAACATGGACTTAACCCCTTGGGAGGGGTCCGAGCTACAAGTCACTGCAAGGTGGGAGAGCATAGGAGAAAACTATCCATGTCCTCTCCTGAGGAAAGCACATCTGTGGGAGAGACCAGCAATGGGGGGGCACATTCAGAGGTGCAGCACCCAGTTTCCAGGCTAGTGTGGGGCTGTGTGTTGTAGGGGTTTGCATGTGGGACCTTGCCAGGCAGGTCCCACTGCAGGACTTGGCACTTGCATCAGAGCAACTACAAGGATTTCTTTCAGTGGAAGCAGGATATGTTTTCTGGGACACCAAACCTGCAGTATTTAAAGATCACAACCAGTGTCTTAAATTCCAGGGAATTGGGGTGTGCTTTTATTTGGAAATAATGTGATAGCCATGTTCTAAGTTTTTAGAGCAGCCAGGGTTTTAATTTGAATTTCTCCCTCTTTCCTGTAGGACTGATGCTGCTGTACATGCATAATGACACAGAAAGCCTAGAGGATAGTTTTACCATGCAGCTGACAGATGGCAAGCGCACAGTCCAAGGGACACTTTACATCTACATCATGCCAGTCAACGATGAAATCCCTCATCTTTCCAGGTTAGCTATCTAAGTGACATTCAGTGCGCAAAGACTTAGGAATAATAAAAGGGAAAGAAATGGAAGCAACTCATCTCCCTGCCAGCACCTCCAAGCCCACCCGCAGTAGAGGAGATCTTGCTTTCATTGCATGTGTTGTCCCTGAAAACAGGCTGTGCATGCTGCTGCCTGGTGCAGGACTGTGACAAGCCACACAATACCATCCAACAAAACCCATTCACGCAGAAAGGGCTGGTTTATGGTCTCTGAGCGGAGGCTTGTTTGTGCTTGAGTTAGTGGCAAAACTGTGGTTGTGTTCATTTAGGCCAGAGTTGCTCCTTTTTCACACTCTGCATCTCTCTCCCACTTCCTTTATTCCCTTCTGTATGTTTTCTCCATTCCCTTTAATCTATTTTTAACAGTGAATCTTGCTGGGAAGAGCATGGTGTGGGCACTTTTTAATATTTAAGGTCTAAAGCCAGGTGAAGGCAGTGTTTAATGCTTGCATTCCTTTCAAGAGAGCCAGAGTGCCACCTCTGGGAATAAGGCTTCAAACAAAGAGGGGGGAACTACACAGAGAGTAGTATTAATTGATCATCTCTGTTCACGAGCGGTAAGGTTCTTCTGACATCCTTTTGCCATAAAATAGTCTACCATAAGGTTTTTTCAGTGCCAAGGGAGGTCTAAACCCTGTCATGAACTTGCTTTTATTTATTGGTTTGAGGAACATGGGAAGAAACCTGGTCTGGTGGCACATTGTGAGACTGGGATGCGAGAGATGTGGTTTCACTCACTTAATGACTGCAACACATGTTTTGGCCTAATTAGGGTTTCTACTCTTAAGAATTCACAAGTTGAAAGATAAAATCCCACAGACCTGCTGAACCCCTTCAGAAATGCCAGGTCCAGTCTAAAAAAAAAAGAGGTTAAAATATTGATTTTGCTTCTTGACTTATGTAGACTTTATAACATCTCCATGGGCCATAGTGGGAAGAGCATCAGTAAGGCTAATACTTGAGTACCCTCTCTACATGGCAATGGTAACAACATTTTCTTGACTCACAAAAGTAGTTTGTAGAGCTAAAAATAATTTCTATTCTCATCCCACAAGAACTTCGTAGACTTGAAAAGTAAAACTTCTGCCTCAAAGAGAGAAGAAAATCAAGCACAATCTTGTATCCAGGTCAAGCTCTTCCCACTAGCAGGGTTTGAATTCATGCTGTCAGAGCATGAGAAACCTGTTTGATCACAAAATGGCTGGTGAACTCCTCGTTTTGAAGATAACTGCAAGCTTTGTATTGAGGTATAAATCAACACACATGCAAAACCCCACGTTGTTGTGCATGGGGATGCTTGAGGCCCCTTTTCTGGGGTCCTTTCTGCAGGGGAAAGCAGAAAAACCTAGTGCGGTGGCCCCTCTATGGAAGGGAGCAGCAGCCTGTTGTGTGTTCAGGGGGGCATTGAAGCTCAAAACAGCTTTGGCTCCATTCCCAGAGCATCATGTGTGTGTTTTGAAAAAATTCATGGAAGTAGCAAACAAGTTATAAAATGGACTTCTTCATGTCCCTGCTTCCTACCGGTGTTTCCTTAGGAGCTTGCAGAGCACAGCCATCGAGCCCCTTTGCCTGGGGGGTAATGCTGCCAGCCTGCCCCTTCCCTCTCAAGCCAGCTCCTCTTCTTGCAAGGCTCAGGTCTGCTACTGCCTCTTCTCCTTCATCCTGCTCCTCTATGCCTATTCCCTTGCTCTGGCTTTCTTATGCTTCCCATCTTTCCTTACTTCCCCCCATCTCTTGCAATTTCCCTCTCGTTGTCTATCTGAGGACGGTTGTTGGTGCTATTTCTGTTTCCATGCACGTGAAATGGCTTTGCTGGATCCGTATGTTCGTTGCTTCCTAGTGTGAGCAACCCCATGGAGACATCCCTTATTTAGGCTTTTAATTTCCCTGTTATTTTCTAGTCCGTCAGAGGTGAGCTTCATATCTCAGATCTTGTTTATGCGTTCATGGAGCAAATTCAGCCCTTTCGTAAGGGAAGGAAATATGCCAGTATTGGCGTTTTCCATCAAGCCACAGCGCTGGGAGTGTGCTCTTCTTCTGCACAGAGCTGTGAATCCAACTCGTGGTTTCATCCAAACCTGTGAGGCTGAAGGACAACATAAGAAGAAAATCACATGCGCGTACATGGCAAAGTTTTCTGTCCCAGGCTGTGGGAGCAGATTTGTTGAAATGTTTTTAAAGAATTCTATCTGCTCGATGCTAAGAGGAGCCTGTTCGTGCTTAATAAATGGGAGAAATTGCTCAAAAATACTTCCTCCATATGAAAGTGCGAGCCCTGTACTGCTGCCAAGAGACGTGAGACCTGTGGTGTCATGCCGAGTAAGTGCTGGTCACACGAATGAGAAAAGCTTAGGTACAGATCCCTCGCTACCACAGTTTTCCTCAAGATGTGAAAATACAGCAGGGAAAATACTAAGCAGCTTTCAGTCTTTCCAGCCAGATCTGCCTCTCTTGCACACGATCACGGGCCGTGTACCAAACGGTGTGAGAGAGACCAAAATAACAGCTTTAAACAGTCGGAGCTGCTTCTTCCACCACTTTGAAATCAGAAGGAGCTGAAGAAATAAGGAGCCTCAGGAGGAACTGCTGCTTGTTGCCCTGTGCTGGCTGCTCTACCAACACATCAATACTGTTCCTGCTGCAGGTCATGCAGAAAAGCCAGTGGCCTTCCTTGCAGCACATGTGTGTATTTTAATTATCCTTACTCGTCTTTGCTAGCTTAGCTAATATCTGTCCACTCTCTCTCCTCAGTACAACCGCGTTCCCAACACCAGCCTGGAGAAGTCTCTTGGTTCCTAGGCACTTCAACTTCCATCCTGAGGAGAAAAGGGGATGTTGGAGGTGTTGGGATATAAATTGTGCTTTAAGTTTTCACAAGAGAGTGTGTAAAGTGAGTAACCTCCATGCAACACAGAGACACGTTGAGCTGGAGGAGGTCTAGCTCAAATTAGAATCATAGAATAGTTAGGGTTGGAAAGGACCTTCAGATTATCCAGTTCCAACCCCCCTGCCATGGGCAGGGACACCTCACACTAAACCAGGTCACCCAAGGCTCTGTCCAACCCGGCCTTGAACACTGCCAGGGATGGAGCATTCACAACCTCCCTGGGCAACCCATTCCAGTGCCTCACCACCCTCACAGGAAAGAATTTCCTCCTTATATCCAATCTAAACTTCCCCTGTTTAAGTTTTAACCCGTTACCCCTTTTCCTGTCACTACAGTCCCTAATGAAGAGTCCCTCCCCAGCACCCCTATAGCCCCCCTTCAGATACTGGAAGGCTGCTATGAGGTCTCCACGCAGCCTTCTCTTCTCCAGGCTGAACAGCCCCAACTTTCTCAGCCTATCTTCATACGGGAGGTGCTCCAGTCCCCGATTGTCAAATCCCCTTCACTAAAAGGACAACCAATGCTGCTGGTTTGTTTTTTCACAGTGCCTCCCTTCCTGTTTCTTTTTTTACTTTTTTTTCTGCCCAGGAGTGTGGGTTTGGAAGCTGAAGCATCTGAGAAAAGGCATTTTTAGTGCTGGACCAGACTCAGACACCAAGGATGCTCCAGGGGATGAACTCAACCAAACTGTCTCCATGTGCCCAGTTCTACAGGTGAAGGCAGCCGTAGCTTTAGTGCTTTTATTTCTCCCTTTTCCTGAGGATAAGTGAAATCCCCAGCCACCTCCTGCAGCAGCAGACTTGCTCTGGAAATGGTTTGGTTCGTGACTTGGATGATAGGGTAAGCAGCAACACCAAATGCAGGGTTTTATTAGAAACTTTCTCTTGTATGTGGTGGCTCTGGTAGGTCCCTGTAGGATTTCTTTCTCAGTTTCTCCATAGCTGCTGCCCCTGTCCCATCTGGAGCTAACACAACACACCCAGGTAACACTAGGACAAACTAAAAGCATCACCCAGGTAACACTAGAGCAAGCTAAAAGCATCACCCTGCAGCATCCCAACCCTGCTGGGGAATAACCTAGAGGAAAATCTTTGCTTCTTGAGCTCAACCCTAGAAAGCGCTTCTTGCTATGCATCTCCCTCCACCATCCCTCTCTGTAATGACACATTTTAGCTCACTTTTATATTGGTTCGCTAAGCCACTGTGCTGTCTTCTTCCTTTTATAATTAAGCAACTTGAGAAATCCTTTGAGGTCAATAAATTCTGAGGAGGCTTACATAAAACAGAATATAAAGTGGAGAGCCCTGCCATCAGAAGCCAGTAAAAGTCAGCCTCTTTGCACGACACCTCTGCAAATGGCATTATGTCATTGCCTAATATTAGTAAGAAACAGTAAAATTATGGTTTTTGTTCAGAGCTATAAAAAGTAATGAGTCTCACATAATTTACTGAAGGGAAGGGGAGAGGAGAGAGGGGAGGAAGGTGGCTGTAAAAGTGAACTTCCATTTTTTTGGGCATCCTGAGTGCATTAGGAAATCTAGCTTGTAACACCCAAATAGACTTTAATGTGCTCTGTCCCGTGGACCTGATTTATTTTGTTGTGCTTTGCTTGCCAGGAACACACACACACAAAATCTTTCAGGAGTCAGGTGGTCTTGTTTCGGTAAATACAACAGAATAATCAGAAGCTGGAAAATATTATGGGGTGGGTGAGGATGGTGTTATTTGTCTTGGGTCATGGTATGTGGTGAGAGCGGCTGGGATGCTGCAGATCCCAGCTCAGTGAAGCCCATGGTATTATTCTCCATCTTTACAAACAGGGTGACATATTTCTGCAGCTAAATATTTACTCTCTCATCGCAGGAATGTAAGTGCCCAAGCAACAGATCTGTGGAGTCATTCATTTTGGAAGAGGAAGGAAGCGACCCTCTAAGGGAGGCTTTGTGCTGCCGACCTGAATACATAGGTTGTGTGGGAGTTAAATACGAGCTGTGAGGGCTGGGGATGCAGCAGACCACTTCCCTGCTGTGAGCCAACACGTTCATGAGCAATAATCTATAATAAGGACCGGGCTTTACATGGAGAGCCAAGCACTGTAGGAGATGGCTGCTTGGCTTTTCATCCTGCTTGGTCCTAGCGAAGGTGGAAGCACATGGAAACAGGGTGGGAAACAACCCCTGCAGACTGCACTCTGTCAATGCCAATACTAAATCTCAGACTGGGGCAAGGAGGGGGGAAATATTTTAGCAGTGATATTGTGCAACTAAAGGATAGGAAGGCTTTTTTTTTTTCACACACCATAACTGTTCACTAATGCATGCATGAACTAACTGTCCTTTCTGTCAAGCTCCTTCATTAGTATTCTTTTTCTTTCTGTACTGGAGTTAGGCTGAAAGAGAGATTATACCGAAAGTTGGCTGGCTATCAGTTGGTCCAATTTTATGCGTTTTAAAATGTGTACTTTTTATAGGGCTAAAAATTGGTCCAGAGCCTCTATGTAAGCAGCAGCTACAGGGGCTGGTGGCTGTTAGTTCTCTCTTTGAATCCCCAATTGATTCTCGTCTTGGGATATTCATCCCAAATACGTGCAAGTCCCTTGAACACCACTGAGCTTTTCTGGAGCTCATCAGTGCTGATGAGTGGGGAACAGCCCAAGAGCCATCAGCGACAGCTAACGTCAAGATGCGAAATAATCAATATTAATGCATGGAAGTGCATATCCAAAAAGCCAACAGATACAGTGACAGCCCTAGAAGGTGCTTCAGCATGGTGAGTTATAAGTGGTTCTGGGTTGGGAAAGATGAAGTTATCAATGTGCTAAGCAACGTCTTGCCCATTTCTGTTCCTCCATGCTCTAGTGACACGAAGCTCCTGTTCTCCTTGGGATACTGCAGTCCTACTTGACCTGTATATGTCTGAAGTGTATTTTCTTTATATATGTATTTTCAAGAGATCACTATTATTTTCTAACTTGCATTCCTGGCACCTCATAATTTTTCTTACATTTCTCTGTGTGGCAAATAAAATTGGTCAGTAAAGGGTGACTTGCTTAGGGCCATCAGAGCTGCTCTTGCCTTTTTCTCTTTCCTCTCTTAAATTTTATCTAAGTGAGAACTTCTGTGGTCACCCCAAATAGCAAGGTATGTGGCCATATAGCAGGTGTGTGTGAGACAAGCACCTCTGGTAATAGCAGCCCTGCAGGGAAGGACTTGCGGGTATTGGTCAATGAGAAACTGAACATAAACCAGCAGTGTGCACTCGCAGCCCAAAAAACAGCCGTGTCCTGTGCTGCATCCCCAGCAGTATGAGCAGCAGGTTGAGGGAGATGATCCTGCCCCTCTATTCTTCTCTGGTGAGACCCCAGATAGAGCACTGAGTGCTGTTCTGGTGTCCTCAACATAAGAAGGGCATGGAGCTGTTGGAGCACGTCCAGAGGAGGCCACGAGGATGAGCAGGGGACTGGAGCACCTCCCGTATGAAGACAGGCTGAGGAAGTTGGGGCTGTTCAGCCTGGAGAAGAGAAGGCTGCGTGGAGACCTCAGAGCAGCCTTCCAGTATCTGAAGGGGGCCTATAGGGATGCTGGGGAGGGACTCTTCATCATGGACTGCAGTGACAGGACAACGGGTAATGGGTTCAAGCTTAAAGAGGGGAAGTTCAGGTTAGATATAAGAAAGAAGTTCTTTACTGTGAGGGTGCTGAGGCGCTGGCACAGGTTGCCCAAAGAATCTGTGGCTGCCTCATCCCTGGCAGTTTTTAAGGCCAGGCTGAACAGGGCTTGAAGCAACCTGGTCTAGCAGAAGGTGTCCCTGCCCGTGGCAGGGGTTGGAACAGGATGCTCTTAAGGTCCCTTCTAACCCAAACCATTCTATGATTCTATAATGTCACCAAGGGCCCTGCATGGGCCACAGCATATGTATGGTGCATGGCTTTATAGCCCACACGCCGCCGATCCCAGGCTTTCTGGAGCGAGCGGGTGCCGCACAGTTGCTCTCCACATGTGCCGCAGGTTTGGCACGTCTCCGACGCGTTGGACCTGCTCGTACGTGCTGCTCTGAACGCACCCGCTGCAGACAGCTGGGGAGCCCCCGCCAGCCAGATGGTCGAAAAGCTCCCTGCACCTGAATCCTTAAAAAGCATTTGTTCTCCCCAAAAAAAATCGTTTGCTCTCCAAAAAGGGTTTAGCAGAGACGTGGGCAGCTCTAGCTCTGTAAGGGGGGCTGGTGCGTTGGAACTGCATCGTGTCCCTTTGCCTGTCCCTTACAAATGTTACCGTGTCACCTGGGGTGTGAAGCTGCTGCTTGTGGTGTCTAGACTTGTGATTACTGAAAATTAATTAAACTGAAGGAAATTAGGCTGGAAGGGGAGTAGGCTCCTGGGAGGGGAAAATGGAAGAGAAAATTGGAGACTGGTGTTAACCCCTTCCAGCTACTGACATAGGAAGGGCTCTTAAATGCTCTCAAGGCCACTCGGATACACATAGATAGTGAGCCGGTGTGATTTCAGGAGCTTTGCCCCTTTCACACTCAGACCCCATGCAGGCAGTGTCCGTGGCCCAGGTGTGATGAGCACATTAGAAATGGGCAGCCCATTCTCCTTCCACTCACGTCATGTAAATAGGTCGCTTTATTGCTAGCCAGACCTGAAATAACTTGCAGATCAGCAGTAGGTTTGAAACGAGCTGGTCTGATTGTGGATAAGGTCAGGGAAATGGAGGTGCTCAGATGTAATCTGATAATAAATCAGTGCTTTATGTGATCAGGACAGGAGGCTGGATGGGCAGCAAAGGGAGGTGGTTGTTGTTGGACGGGTCTCCTCTTGTTTTTCCATAGCCTCTTACCTGTTCTTCTGTCTCTTAAAATCTCTCTTATATAGCTTTTCAGCATGGTATCTGAGCGCTTTGTGCCTTCCCCTTGGCATACAGCCACCGTCTGGCTAGCGAGCAAGTACAAACTGTAACACCTGGGTGTCAGCTATGAACATTAGGGTGTGCTACAATGGACCCATCTGTAGTACTTGGCACATGCCGGGGATTTTTATGTGTGGTTGGCTGAAAAGCAGGATCAGAGAGAGAGAGAGGAGGGAGAGCAGGGGAAGAGGGCTCCGCTGGGCACGCAGAGAACATCATTTTGGCAAAGGTGCCAGTAGGTTTCCATGGGCTTGTCTGCTTCTTTGCTCAGCTCATGCATTCAATAAAAATATCCAGGTTGTTTCTAAGAAAAGCAGGAGTAGATTTCCCCAAAGAGCATGCTTAGAAACCTCATTCTTTGTCTCTGGAGAACAAATCTAACACTGTAACTAGGTTTAATAAGAATACCTTTAATAGTAATAGATATAATAAAAACCTGATTTAATAATAACTAGTTTTATTGTTCTTCCACCTGATCCAGGTCCTGTTGACTGACCCCCTGAGCACCACAGGGTTTCTAGCTGGATTTGGAAGGGGGAGCGCTCTGCTTTTCAGGCTGTGGCAGCTTTGACAGTGTTGTGGCCTGGAATAAATTTCAGCCAGGAGCATATGGGCGAGGGCTGCCTTTGGTATTTCCACACTGGTATCTTGAGCCTAAATAGTCGCGATAGTTTCCAGTTTTATTCCATAGATGGAAAAAAAAAGTGTCCCCATCTGAAAATGTCTATATATCTATGAGAAACCCCAGCAAAGCTAGGGAGTGAGTGTAGAGCAGTAAATAGTGCTGTGGCTTATTGCATCAGACTCACCTAAGTGGAAACCCACAGTGCACTGAAAGGAGACGAAACGTTTCCTATCCCCCTCCCCCCCACCTCCTTTATGTGGCACTGATGTGTTTTAAAATGCATGGGCAAAGTTTGTAGTTTATTTCCTCCAAAGGGGCCAAGTCCTGCTGGCATTCTTATGAACAAGCTCATTAGAATAAAATCCATTATGCGCATAACTAATGACACAAATTTACAAATCTGTTGACAATTATGACCGTATCCCTCATCGCATTTGCTTGTAGCTCGTTGAACTGACCAGGTGAAGGAGTTCCCATCCAGAAGTTTTACAGCTCGCGAGCTCCGAGCGCAGCCATGTGAGATTATTTCCCAACAGGATTACAAAGCTGTCATTAGGCAGGGCAGCTCGGGAGGACCGGGGCACGAGACCGTAAACTGTCCTCGGGAGACCTGAAGTCATTTTGAAGGCAGCGCAAGATATTCCTGGCTGCAGAAACCATTTTATTTCACCTTATTTATTTATCTTAGCTGGGGTTGGAAACACACGCGCATGCACACAAACGAGGGCTGTTCCAAGCGGCGCCTGGCGTCCTCTGGAAATGAATAGAAATCAAATGGAGACGCCGGTGTCCTCCGAATGTTAAATATTCCCAAGTTCTTGCCAGGCGAGTGTAATTTATTGAATGTAGGTTTTGTGAAATAGTGCTTCTGTCAGGGGGGAGATTGGCACCAGAGAAATGAAGGTGGCTAATTCTCAGGGGGTCCTCCCTGGCAAAAACCCTCTATTGAGTCCTCATGCTACTTGTGCTCATAACTGCCGAAAAACCAGGAGTGCCATCTGCAAACTGTGATTCATAAACACTCTGTCAGTCTGCCATCTACCCTGACATCATAAAATAACAAGAAGCAGCATTGTAATAAAGAGAGGAGGTTTGCAGTCGACCAATTAAACGCATCTAATTTATTTCTGTTACAGCTGAGGCTTTATTTATTAGTAAACAGCTGCATTTGTTACACTTTTTCTCCCCCCCCCCCCCCCTTTTTTTTTTTCTCTCTTTACTAGGAGCGTGCCAACTGGCACTTTTGATAATCCATTAATCCTAAATAATCATCTGGGTACTTCATGGTTGGTAGGAATAAAAATAGGGGGGGGGGAAGGGTTATTAAAACTTATAATGTAACCTTGCAAGGAAGCTGGAGAGCGCTTCTCCACCATGGGTTTTGCATGAGTTATGGTGAGCTTAAGTTTGCAGGCCAAGTCCTACGCTCAATTTACACCTGCGAGTAACCAGCGTGACAGCCAGCTGAAAGGGCTATAAATCCCGGAGCAGGATCTGGCCCTGTGGATATTTGGTTTTAGGACAGCCTATCTGTGGTACAAGAGGAGCGTTTTGCGTGTTTGGTTTTAACTTGCCTCCTCCTTCCCCAGCGCTTACTTGATTCTCAGCAAAGCTAAAAATCTGCTAATTGGTTGTCAAAGTCTAATTAGCTGATATTAGGGGGAAAAAAAAAAGAGATAAGTTTGCCTTTTATAATTGGAGCTGACCACCCCCCCCCTTCCCTTCTCCTCCCCTTGCACCCCCTGGTGTGTGTTAATTGAGCTCCAGGACTTTTCAGTGTATTTTAATGCTCTCTCCTTTTCAGTGCCCTGGAAAGCTTTGCAGTTAATGAGACAATAATATGTACAATCAAGTAAAAATGTAGTGAAAAAGCCTAGGCAAAGCCGTATGGAATGGGGACGGTTTGAAGGTGTGCAGATGTGTGGAGGGAGGGAGCTGTTCACCAGTTTCCCTAAAGCAGCCTCATATGGTTAATAATGTCCTGTAACTTTTAATTTACCTTCCTGGGCATTTCCTTCCCCTTAAAAAGTGGAATGCTTGTTTGCTTGAGGATGTATTTTAGCTATTAAGGGAAGAAGGCTGCGCTTTGTGCAGGAGTCAAATGAATGCGATGAGGATTCTCGAGAGGCCAAACTAGCCAAAACATTGGTCTCCGCTGTATTTTATTCTCTCTGCATGTGTGTACACACATATAAGTACGAAATTCCACCTGTATCCAGAAACCAACCCCACCTTGAAGTCTATATGAGCTCTCACATTCATCCTCTCCTGTATCATTCTTCCTATGGGACCTCAGTGCCTCTCAGGAGTGAATTACACACCATGGAGAACCTCTGCCCCTTACTCCTTGTTTTGATACCTCATTTTTCAACCCTCTTTATTGGTACACATTAGAGAAAACAATGTTTAAAAGCAGTGATCACAGGTGGGTGCTCTATATATGGGTGCTCTTTTTCAATATGTATAACGTTGAATTTACTTACTCAGTCATGTTTTCCTCTTTCTCCTCCTCCCATCTTCCTCCTCCACACCTGCTTTCAATCAGTCCCCTCTGCCCCGCCTGTCATCCTCTCCTCTCTGCTGCTTTTACCACAAGCCCACTAACGTTATATTTCAAGCCAAACTTTCAAGCCCACGACGTTTAAGCAAGTGAATCAAAAAGCCCGAGTGGCTTTGCCAGGCAAGGAGCCGGCTTGGCCCCAGGGAGCACGCGGGGGATGCTGGCGTCCGCTCGAGATGCTGAGGTGCAGCCAGTCACAGGGTTTCACCCATCCTAGCAATTGGAGTCTGTTTTTTTTCCTCTAAATCTCAAAGTATGATTTGGTTTTGTGTTTGTTTGTGGGTTTTTTTTTGTTTGTTTCTTTTTCTCTAAAATCTAAAAAAAAAAAAAAGATACTATATTAAGGCCAAATGTTGCTGCTAGATGAACAACTTCAGATGTACATGTCTTCTTCTTGTACGTCTCATCTGCTTAGCGGTGTGTACTCTGACCACAATGGGTATCAGGCTGAAAGAAACAAGTAAAGCAGTGAGCCAGGCTACCTAGAAGACCAGATGTGTATTTATTTATTCTCTTGATTGTTGGTATAAAACTGGAGACTTTTTAAGTAAGTTATTTTAAACAATACCTGCTTCACGGTAAGCAGACTGTGCTGGTTGGTGGCTGACATCCCGACTCCACAATGTATTCTAGTCAGTATGGGCTGGAAAGTTTCATCCTTAGGCTCATAATTAGGGACATAAGGAATCTGATTTGCCCCCGCCACAGTGTTAAGCAATGGGTGCTGGTAACTTTCTGCTCAGGAGGGTCATCTCCATATCATGGGTCTTGAGGCAATTTCATGCCACTGCATCTCTCTGGAGCAGATATGATGGGTTTAGCAAAGGTTGGGCTCTGGTTCTTGAAAGGCTCTTGGTGTTTTAAAGCTTGTTAGACTCCTGTTTTCAGATGTCACTAATGGGACAATGCAGCAGGGTGGCAGACAGTAACAGAAAGCTTTTCCAAGAGGGACAACCTAGGTGACCATCACTATCCCCTGCTGAGCATCTAAAAAATGGGACTATAAAAAGTCTTACAAGCCACTATGAGAAACTGCGCTCTTTTTTCCGCATGGGCAAAAATTGCATTTGTCTGTTTTGCTGTTGCTTCTTTGTTTTATTTTATTTGTTTGGATTTCTTGTAAAAAAAAAAATGAGTCAGCATGAGAGCACTGCATCTATTTAATCAGCTTGGGCTTGACTGTGGACTTCTGTAACCCTTGAGCAAAACATAGAGCAGGTTGATGTCCTGCAACACTGGCTGCTGCCTGCAGTGCCTTCCCATGCTCTGCGTTTCTAGGTCCTCTCTCCCCTGCACTCCTCCTTGATCTCAGATCACTTTTGGAAAGCATCTGAAAAGCAGTCCCTGTTCAGTGAGACCTCACACAAACCCAGTCTTCTTCAAAGATGCAACCAAAAAGTAAGACGCACCCAGTTTCTTCTCCAGCACAGCACACATTGTTTGTCTGATGCCAAGTGTTCCAAGCCAGGTGAGTTGTGATAATGTTCATTGTGCTGGGAAAGGGGCTGGTTGTTTTCTCTTTTGATGATTTTTCTCCAACACAACTAAAATTTTTGCTATAACTGATTGTATTTATATTTTTAATGACTGCAATTCCTTAGACTAATTTCCTCAGATAACAGTTATTGAATGCATCAAGTCTCACTGACAGTTTCTGTTTGCAGTGAAGAAATGGTGTTAAAACAGTTAATAGCAAAGGTGAGCCATCAAATGGGGTGGAAAGCTTGCAAATTGGTGCAGATTTTGTTGTGGGAATAAATTTTAAAAACCCCAAGCCCTGACAACCATTATTCTCAGATGTTGCTGGCAACCTTCTCCATTTAATAGGAGCCTGTTGTTTCTGAAAGTCAGTTGGCAACATAATAATGCGGCAAGAAAGAGAAAACAAGCTCCTGTGGAGTACAGGCTAGAAATGCCACTATTGTATATTGTCATCAGCAGGTTGACTGACAACAACAGAAGCTGATTGATATTACTCTCTTGCTTTTGCAACATCCTCAGATAAAATCTGGTGTCTGCTTCTGCCTTTGGCAGGTCAACTTTCGTGCTGCCACCCTGACTCAGATATGTTTTTAAGAACAAGGAGGGTTATAATAGAAAAGGATGGAGTGGGTATGACTAAATCTAATCGCTACTCCTCTTCAGAGAAGAGCAATTGTTCAATTTTAGAGCAGCCTCAATTTTCTGGGGCTACTCCTCTGTAAATGTGAAAACTGCCCTGGCCCTTGGGTGATACGGTGGAGCTCTTCATAAATAAATCTGATGGAGCCAGAAACTCTGTTGCTGAGGTTACAGCATCACTATCAGCTTAAAACACAACGTTTGCGCTTAATGTTTAGTTCATTAACGCGTTCTGTCCATTGGCTCGTTTGGATCTATTAACATAATTGTTCTTTCTAAACAACTGGGTCATTCTCTCTCCCCAAACAGAAAATCAAAGCTGGCTTCGGTATTTTGGACGAATCATGCAGCCAGATAAATACACATGCTCCTCTATAAACTCACCCTGGCTCAGATTAGACAAAAACGTTGTGAATCCACTTAGTGTCAGCCTTGAAGTGAAACTCATTGTGGCGCATATTGGAAAACAAAAGAGATAGATACCTCTGCAGCTTTTCCTGTTGTAAATATCCTGTCTCCATCTGAAACCTAAAGCAAAACCATTTTCCCAAGCTATTTTGATAAATCCATCTCCTGCCTCTCAACTGAAGGGCTGACTTTTATCCTGTTCTCTCCTTCTGTTCTGGGATGTTATAAGGAATATTCCCCTTTTTAATTTCCCTCCTGTTTGTTTCCACTTTTACTCATTTCATTTTTTTTTTTTTTTAGGTGACATTGTTCTACTCGCCAAACCTGTAACTTTAACAGAGGGTGACAGGGTGACCTTGACGACAGATGTTCCTGTGGCAACAGATGGCACTAGCAAACCCGAGAAGCTGCTGTATGCCGTCTCCCTGCCACCTGTGCATGGTCAGATTGAGCACATCAATTATCCCGGCGTGCCCATTTCCAGTTAAAGCCAGTTGGATGTGGTGGCCCAGAAGGTCTCCGACGTCCACAACAATAGCCACGGGGCTGGTAAGGAGTCGGTCAGGTGAGAAGACTTCCCCCTTGTACCCCAGTGTGCTGAAAAGCCCTCAGTCAGCAAAGGGTTAAGTTTGGTTCTCTTTCTCCCTGTACCAGTCACTGTAATATTTAACGACTGATATGGTTGTGAAGACACTGCCGCAAAGGCTATGATGGTGTAATTTTATCATTATGGCAATTACATACTTTATTAAGTGTAGTAGTGAAGTTGTAAGGCGACAGGAGTCTTGCAGGCTTAATATTGGGGTGTACCCAGGTAGGCTTCCATGATCAGTTGACAAGTGAAATCAAATGATTTCAGTACAATAAAGAGTTTACCACTTCTTTTGAGGATTCCAGAAGTGGAAAAAGGGAAAAACAAATATTCCCCATCTGCAGCTGTTGTTGCTTTCTGGGCAGTTCATTCTCCTGAAGAAGGGGAAAAAATCATAATCGTAACATTGTCTGAAATGATCAGGAGAACTTAATCCAGATGGTGGTGTCATTTCTAAGAAAAAGCATATGTTGGCCATTATGATACTTAAATATAATGGTTTTACATTCCTCTAGTGGGCACAAAAGGCTCACAACATAGTTGGCGGGGTTTTTTAATCTTCTGAATGGTGGCAGTGGTGGTGGAGTGGTGGGAGATTTTATCTTCCAAATGGTGTTTTTCCCAGAAGATATGGAAAATTCAATTGAGGAGAGCCTGCTGTAAAAGCCATGCTCCTGCAGAATGTAAATTTGTGCCTTCCTCTAACCAGTAACAGTGGAGAGGTTTAATTTACTGCCCCCTTTGGATTATCGTCATTTTTCATATATTCTTCTGGCTTTTCCCTTTTTTTCTTTTTTCTTTGCTTTAACATGTTTTTCTTTCCGATTCGCTTTAAAAGTTATTTACGCTCCCTTTGCAGCAAAGTGGGCACTATAACTAATTTTATTCTTACCATGATTAACTATGAATAATTTCCAAAGAAATGAGTCAAATTAACAAGGGGAAGAAGGAATCAATAAATCAAGAAAGCAGCCTATTTCTAAGTGGGGTTAAAACCACCATTAAATAAATCACAGACTCTAAATGATGACCTGCTTGGATATGGGGAAGGGGGAAATGTCCATTTAAACTATGCTGAAAGTTAAAAGGAAAGTGTGGGACAGCACCAGTGCTCCCTTTGTGCTGTACAAGGAGAGGGGCACATAAGAGGGAAGGAGATTTGGGGAAGGACCCTGGGACAAGGCAGAGAGGAAGGATGCGATTTTCCTGGTTGCTACAGGCCAGCTGCGGGGAAACAGCTAAGCAGGGGTCAGAAAAGCTCTGGCTTTTGGACATGGAGGCATAAATGTTGTTTAATTGCACCTTCTGCCTCCATCCCTGCTGCGCAGGAGCTCAGGAATGCAGGGGCTGACCTGACCCCTCTAGAAATACCTGAAATGTTTTCACTCTGCCTTGAGAGTTCATTTTTTTTCATTGGCTTTCATAGTCACAATTTTAGGCTCACCATGCTTGTTCACTGGTTTACATTCTATCCTTTTAATCTTGCATTAAGGGTCATATTTTGCCTGATGGCACGCTGAGTGCGGTAATGTTACCTAGGGCTAGATTTTCATCTCTCTTGCTCATTGAGACTTATAAATCTAATTTTTACACAAGGAATTCCATCACTTTTGCAGGAGAGTGCCTCATCCATCTTCATGCCAGAACGTAAAGACATCTTTAAACTGCAGGAAAATTAGGCAGACTTTCCTTCCCAAGTTTTCTATGGGAAAGAAGGGGTCAAAATGCTTGTTCCTTAGGTAAAAGAGGGGGGAAAAAAGGGAGGGAGAAGCAATTCTACTTGTAACCTCCCAGTTTGCAATTCTTTTTATGATCTTTCCTCCTCCCTGAACACATATATGAAATGGCACCAGCTCCCTGCTCCCTGGAAAGGGGTACCTATTACCTTGCCTTATGGGCCAAAGGTTGTCAGCTGGTTTAAATCAGTGTATCTCCATTTGCCGAAATGATGCCGTAGCCATTTAAACTGTGGCTTATAAAGTTAGTTCATAAAGTTGCTGAGAGGGTCTCTTTTCTAATGTATTTTGTAGTCGTGGGAGCTCACCTCTCTTTTTGTGGGACCAAGGAGTATTCCATGGACTCAAGGTGATGTGGTGTTTAGGGTTTGTCCTTCCTCTCTTTTGTCCACCTGGCTGCCGTAGGCAGGATTTGGTGCTGGTCTTTTGGCAAAGCTATGCAGGAGATTAGAGAGCCACAAAGCACAACAGTCACTGCCTGCCCACAACACCGCTAAATGTTGGAAAGAGTATTTCAGGGAATGAAAGTGACATGATGAAGCCTCATGCCTTCATCCTTCCTGCTGAGCTGGCGCTGATCTAGGGGAAGAACATGAGCATCTTCACCCTGCTGTCCTCCGTGGTGGCCTCAGCAGGTGAATCATGCTTATCTAGTGCTTCTGCGCTCCTGTTTAGTCTTGATCTTGTTCTTTAATAATAAATGCTGGTGAACAGTGAAGTGCTTATGGAGCAACCAAGAATGAAGTCTGCTTTTTCCTAAGTGCTGTATAAACACCGCCTGGGCTGGTGGACTTGTGTGGGGAGGACTGGACCCCCATGATGACCCTGGAACTCGTCTCAGTTTCCTACCTTCTTGTGAGGGACAGAGAGATCAGAACATTAAGGATGGGCAGGGAGCAGAGGAGTAGCAGTGGGGCTAATGTGGGGAAAGCTGGAGGTCCAAGGAAGGGATTGCAAAGGGAGGAACTGGAGTGGATGGGCCAGTTGTCCCTGCAGGTGCCATCTCTGCCTCCCTCCTCTTCACATTTCCTTCCAAAGAAAGTATTTGTGGGCTGGTATGGGACTGCCAAACCCAATGACATCAGTGGCCAAGTTGTCTCTGAGGAACGTGCAACCTTAGCCTCTCTCAAATATGAGGGAGATGCCAGTGGAAGGGAAGGTGTAGGAGGATGCTGAAGGAAACGTCAGCCTCCACCATGGGGATGTGAAGTGGGTCCAGCAGCCCTGCTGGGGCTGAGGGAGAGAGATGGGGGACTTGTGTTTCAGACATGAAAGAGTTAAAACACAGGGATTAAAAAAAAAAAAAAGAAGAAATCCTTAAAAAAACCCAACCCTCACGCACACACTCTCACACACTCTCACAAAACCCTGCACCCTAAATTAATTTCTGCTGGTAATCTATATCGGGTTAAATAACGCCTCATTATTCTGCAACACAGCTGAGGCTTCTCAAAATGTTTATCTTGTTTTGTAACTGGTACCTTCTGGCATATTCCAGTGCCAACTCTCCTAGCTCTTGCTATATTTCATTCTCACTATTTTTGGAATGGAGCTGCTGGTTCCAGGTGATTTAATAAATTGCTTTTTTTTTGTGTTCCTTTTAACTTACCCATCTGCTCAACACATGCGTAACTTGCAATCTGTCGGCAGTTTGCAGAAAGACAAACTGTCAGAGCTGCATGCATTTGACAACTTTGTTCCCAATTAGATTAGTGGTAATTTTAACAGATTTCAGGGCAATCGAAAAAAGGGATGACATGTTATTAAAGCATCAATTTTGACAGACCCAAGCACATACAATTTCAGTGTAAATTATTTTAAATGCTTTAATTAAAGCTATGAAAGATTTACCCTTTTAAGCGGTAAGTGATTGCAAGACAAATATAAAGGGAAAGTGGATAACAGAGTTTCCTAAATGGTTTATGCTGCGCATGGCAGTCCACAAGTCACCACCACCATAATCTATGACTGTAATGTTGGAGGCATAGTTAATTATTCATAGCCTCATCTCTGGAGCAGACGTGATTAAGAACATGAGGAGCATTCAGAGATCTAAGCAGTACCTATGAAAACTGGAGTTCAAGCCCCTCTTGGTTCAGATGCTGTTGGAAAACACTTAAGGTTATCTTACATGGGGGATATTTTTATGAATACCCTTTCATTTTTACCCCAGTTCTGCTCTGGTTTAGATGGCTGCAGCCCAGTGGTCAGGGTGATTGCAGATTCAGAGCAATTGGGGATTTTCTATACTTGAAGACACTTTACAGGCTGTGCAAGTCCTGTAAAAAAAAATAAAGAAAAAGAAAAAAAATACATTTATTATTTAAATAGAATACAGCACTCTAAATTCGCCACTCCAGGAGCACTCTAACACATGTGTAGTCCATTTAACCATTTAAAGGATGTTGTGAATTATGGCCCCCTTCCAGCAACCTTCGTTCAGGGCAAGGCTGACCCTGGCTTCGTGGCGAGAGGGCTGGGGCTTGGCTCCTCTTACCCACCTCTTGGGTCCCAGCTGGAGGACCATAGGCCTCCCTGCAGTCACACCTTCATCCTACAATGCAAATGTTGGTCTGAGTTGGGAGCAGAAACCTTCCAGGACATTGCTCCAAGGGCTTTGTTTATTTTCTGCGTGGCTGGCTGTGCAGTGCAGAGCTGTTTCATTTTCAGGTTGTTAAATGTGCATATTGCTTTAGTGTATAAACTACTGGTCCCACAACCTGCGTTGAAAGTTTATTTCCTTTTTAATTCAGGGATTGCAAGGCTTCCTGATGCTATTTAGAGTAAAAAGCAACAAGCACACTGTTCCCACCCTCCCCTGTTGCTTAAAACCAAGCTTGCATGCATCTGTTTTAGTTTTTTTAACTTGTTTCCTTCAAGGACGGGTATGGCTTGGTACTATTTTCTGAAAAGCTTAAAGGTTTTTCTTTGGGAGGTTGCTAACCCAAAGAGTTGTAGTGCCGAAATGCAATGGAAGTGAAAGAAGCTGCTCCAGCAAGCACGGCAGGAAGCTTGTCAGAGCCCATGGTCTCTCTCCCTTTCTAGCTGCTTGACTGCTAGAATATGCAGTGATTTGTAACTGGCACAATGCGTCCATCAAGTAAGATGAAACCCTGATGGAAGTGTCTCACCATCTTCGGGACTGGTTTTGATCTGCATGCAAATAATGTTCTCTGTTTTGCAGGTCTGAGAACCAGACTTTAAAGGGTTTCACAGCTGGGACAGCTCCTAAATCATCTCATATCCCTTCTTCTACTGTTCTTCTTGTCTGGCGTGCACCGGCGAGGCTTCATTTAATCAATCAACCTACTCAAGTGTGCACTGGTTTAAGATCCACCTTATTGCATGTCGGTCAATAAGCACTGGCCTCTTGGGATGTCTGCCTTTGCCATGAAAAATCACCTTCCTTCTTAAAAAGTGAAGGAGACCATGCATCAGAGATGAGGGTTTAAGAGCAAGATTCTCCTTGTGAGCCCTCAGATTGATGATGTTAGAAGGCCAACAAGCACGGTTGTTGCATTTACCCAGCATGATGGGTAACGGGCAAGCAGATGAAAATGAGCAACTGTAAGAGATAATTTCAATGCTGATATCAGGCCACTCATGCTCACATATATCAAAATGCCTGCATGGTGGACAACAGCACAGGGAATCCTTCCCAGAAGTCCTTCACCAGGTAGCCCTGCACAGCCTTTCAAAACACCTTTTGTGTATATATTCTCCTCACCTTGGTATAGCCCTTTTGTATGTGAAAGAGACTGTTGTATGTCAGGAACAATTTAATAGGATGAAAATACCCCACTGGCACAAGGGAGGTGATCAGAAATTTGGAAACTTTTATTTTATTGGTATGAAATCAATTGTGGTTTTCTTGTCAACAGACCAAGAAAGGAGCCAGTGGGACCTGTAACGCAGGTGTGTCACTGACTGTCTACCCTGGTCTTCTGATGGCACCACCAAAGAGTATTGAATGACAAGAATGTAATGTAGAGGATAAGATTTAGCATGAAAAAGGTTGGAGAAAGCAATCTCTTGAATGTTATGGTCTTTTCCTTGCTCATTAGCGCTTCCCCTTCTGAAGGAGCTCTAATTGTTTGGTCCAAAACACGATGACTGCATAGAAGAATACTAGAAGAATACGTAGCAGATACTAGAGGTCTTATCTTCATGACAGATTAGAGTCATGATAGGGGCTCAAAAACTTGAAATCTGGAAAACCTTTCAATTTTTAGTAAACTTACTTAAAGATTGTAGGTCCGTTAGAGTTTCTGAGATCAAATCACTAGTGAAGGTAGTTCCTGTAAATTAAAGAGAGACCTAAAATTGCATACTTAATCAAGTCACATCCAATGCAGAGCAAAAAACCCTGCTTGCATACATATTGAGCTTCGCTGCCTAATCTATTTTATAATGTTTTGCAATTAACAGGCCAGTGTTCATCAGCTGATAAATAATTAACAGCTGTTGTTGTTTCTAGGGCATGACGTAAAGGGCTTACATAGGACAAGAACTAGCTTGATTTGCTTGCCAAAACTCTGACCAAACATACATTTGCAGCTCACAAAAACAAATTTCTCTGAGGACTTGCACTTCTTGGTATCTCTAAGGGAGTCCTCTCTGTGAGCCTGCCAAACTTATTAGAAATGAAATATTCACCTGCTCTTTTTGTCAGCCACATATTGGAAATCTGAGAGAAAGGCTTCACTTCTTACCGGCGTTATTCAGACAAATCAAGAAGTTGAGTGTAACCACAAAGGGTTTTCTTATGATTTACCTACAGCTCAGTAGTGTCTATAGCTTTTCTGATGTTGCACACAGAATTGTTTGATCTTTGCTCCAAAACTTCAGATCTGGGAGGAAAGAGATTTTATCTGGTGAGATGTAGCCGCCCCTAATGATTTTAAACAAATGTGGTGGTCTAATTGTTCTTCATCTGAAATAACTAAAAATTGACTTGCTGTAAACTGGTTACAAATAGGAGATGCAGAAAACATCATTTGGGAACACCCTTTGGCTGCATCTTGCTGGATGTCTCAGCAGCTTGCAACTCTTTTATCTGCTTACTTGCATCAAGTTTCAAGTGGGGGTTTGCACGGGCCATGAATGCCAACACGAGGAATACCTCCAACCAAATTTACACTGGAGGAGAGCTCAGTGGCTTACTCCAGAGCTTTGCTGATTTATATATTTTATAGCACATATGCATCAAGCAATTACAAGCACTCGTGGCTAAGGGAGGGAGATGACTCCTGTTTACAGCATGCACAATTATCTATGATTAAGCAAGTCCATACCATGCTCATGCAGAAGTGAAGTCCGCCACATAGGCAAGCTTTACTTGTGTTGTAAAGGCTTCTACTGCCCCAAAGAAGCATGTTTCTTGACCATGGTTTTTATCCAATAGTTTCATACAGTTTGTCAGATAGTTTCAGGCACATACCATGCTTCAGGAGCATCAGAAAGAAAAAGGTCAAAAACTTGAACATGTCTCCAAATTAAAATTATGAAGCTATGGTAGACAGTTGAGGATAGATGTAACGTATTCGTGTCAGTGAACGTCACTGAAGAGATTTTCTGTAACATTTTGTACTATCTGGAGTTTCGTAAGTGCTGCAGGCTTCATGCCCAGGTATATTGTTTGCTGTAGTACAGCCAAGTGACCAAGGTGTGAAAAACTAAAGCCAGGTCAGTATCTGCCAGGATGGGATGCAGTCTCCCAGCCAACTGGGTATGGTTGGAAGTGCTAATTGCTGCTATGAGAGAGCTGAATGTACTTGTGGATTCTTCTCCTGTTTTCTTTTTTTTCTTTAATAGGAGTTTAATCATGAATGTGTGGTTTAACCAAAACCTCTTCCAAATTCTGTCCTCTGCATACTGACAACTGTCTCACTTGGGTTCGACTTCACTTACCTCTTGTGTGTATCTCAGGTTATCTTGACTCAGCATTGGTATTTCTTCCTGGTATTGGCATGATTGTGAGTGGTAGAAAATAGACATGTTTGTTTTCTGTGCCTTGCCAGCACTGAAAATGCTTACCCTCACTTGTGTATAAATATTGAAAGAGCTGGAAATACGTCTTGGCAGACTTGATGCCCCAAGGTAAAGATGCAGGCTTAAACTTTGCTCACATGTTGCTTCTTGCAGGTGAGTTGGCAGTGCCTGGTGTATGTGGTGTTCTATAAAAACAGGGACCTGGAAAGATGAGAGTGGATCGTCATCATGTCATCATCTCCATTGGTGGGATGGGACCTTGGGCAGTTGGCAGCAGAGCTGTTTCAGCTCTGGGTCTCGTGTGAGTCCTGTTTGTGCATAGGTCACTGTGAAACAGTGTTCAGCTTCCCAGTTAGAGCAGTCTAGCTATGCTGATCAGGCATCAGAGGTTCATGGTGGATGTTAGTTTAGTCATGTGTGGAGAGGGGACTTCTTTAAAGGTGGTTGTTTGAAAGAGCAAAGAAACACTCCTTTGCTGTATGACATTGGGACTTTTTGGTTCAAGAGAAGAATTTGTGACTCTTCCTCCAAACCATGGTGCTAAAATCAGGATCGTTGGTGGCTCCTGTTGACTGATTGTCTCTTATAACACTCTGGAGTGGCCACTGCAGTAATGTGATCATAACCTGTGCTACCAGTGGTTGCAGCATCCTCAAAATTAACAGGAAGTCTGAACATGTGATTAAGGGTTGCTTAGATCAGAAATTGTTGAAGACCTTTAGATAGAGGAGGCCTGTGTATGAACACAAAACACAAGGGTTTATTTATAATTTCCTTTTGGTAACAACCTGGCTGTTATTCTTTCTTTCCCTTTATCTTTCAGACTTCAGTGAAATCAGATTTTGCATCATCCTGCAAGAGCAGAGCTCTTTCTTTTAGAAAGGACAGATTTTAAAGCCAAGGTAACTCACTTCACCCCAGCAGGATGCATATCAGCCTACTGGCAATGGGGACCCACCACTGTCTCCTCATATTTGCAAGCCTCCTGGTACCTATGCAAGCCCTCCATCTCACCCATGGAAGGAAACCTGTGCCTTTAAATGCCCTCCCCATGGTGAGTGCACACTTTTCTGCTTATTCTGAACTGACAGGTTTAGCATGTCGCCTGCCTGGTCACTGGAGAGAGGCACCTCTGGCAAAAGTTCAGAAGTCAGTGTTTTGGAAAGATTGGTTTGACCAGCTCTCAAGTGAGAGCAAATCCCAGACCAAAGGCAGTCAAATCTTCAACGACATTTAACCACTGTGGTGCTGTAGCTTGCTGACATCCTTTTAACCTGGAGAGGAGTGTTCATTGCTTCAACCTTCAAGTTTTATTTATTGTTTCTTTCCTGCTCTGCTGGCAGGGGGATGCTGGGGTGAAGGCAGGTTGTTTCGACTTTATCCTAATTCATTAATTAGCTTGCGTATCGTTCTGGCCCAGGACTACAGGACAGACTAGCAGTTTTGGATTTTGCCTTGGTATCTAGACTTCCGTAATATATAGTGCTGCAGTAAGGACATATATTCCCTTATTGCCTCTTCAAGGCTTGTTATTGAAGGGATCTTAAGATTTATTGCATCTTGCTTTGTAAAACTGCCAGTTCACAACCTTTTTCTCATCCTTCGGTATTTACACTGAAGGGTAAAATGTCTTAAAACCAAAGAAACAAAAAAAGAGCGTACAAACAGTTAACAGTAAGTGGTGCCCAAATTACATATTTCTTAAACTCGTGGCCTACTTTACTAATCAGTTGTCATAAGATGTCAGATGGGGATCCATCACTGAAGAACTGCAGAATGCAGCCAGTGAAGCAACTAATTAGTTGGACAGTGGCATGGAGGTGTGTGTCCCCAAGGAGCTGAAATGATCAGAGCAGGTGAAAAAAGTTTGGACAGATCAGTATCTCTGCAGTAAAAAAAACAACACTTGTCTGAATCACAGGGATGCTGAGGGTGAGGGCACCACAGGTCCTCCATCAGGGGCCATGCATGGCAAGGGACTGCAGTACCACTGTTCCCAGGAAGAAAGGCAAGTCAGCTGAATGCTTGAAGGAACATGACCTGAGATGTGCAGGAATTAGAATAGTTGAGCAGTTTCTGGGTTTCATTTGGGAGAGCTATAGCTGGCTGGCTTGCTCTCTGATGACTTCTTACTCACTCTCAAAGCCTTTGCTCCCCAGCCACTAAAAGAGTCAGTGTTGGTTATTCCCTATAGGGGAATAACCTACCATCACAGGTAGGTGATGGTCATGGAGCTAGCAGAGTGAAGGCTCCATTGTCTCCTAATGTAGCTGGGTCCAAAAGACCCTCAGAACTCTGGAACAAATGTAAAAGCTTCTGTTGAGCTAAAATATGTAAAAGACTGAAGCTTACGAACTTTGATAGGTGGCCCATATACTCTTGTAGCACAATTGTAGCACAATTTAAGTTGTTTTAAGTGTGTTGCATGACTTTTTTCTCTCTTTTCCTTCATTCCACCCCTATACAGGTGCACCCCTGCTGCACTCATGGACTTTTGTTTCCCTATACAAACTCCATAGATGCAGCAGCAAAACAAATCCTCTCCAAAACTCCTCTGAAGAGAAAGCCCCCTCACCCTGCAGGACTAGAGAGGGTCAGCATGGGATGCCAGAAACCCCTTCATATTGGCAAGTCATTTGCTTTCACAGCAAAAATAAGGATCTCATCCTCAGCCTTTTCTCTTTTGGTAGATGCAAAACTCCAATCTAGGTGTTTGACTTGGGATCTTTAGTACAGCAAGTCCTCAGTAGAAAAACCTTCCTTTCAGCACTTTGATTTTCAGATTGTTACTGCACAAGATAATAACTGTTGTATTAAGTATTACTAAGTAATATCAAGCCGTATTGTTGTAGAAATTAAGGATATCTATGTCACAGGAAGTATCAGAAGATGTGTTTCCAGACCTGCAGGTCACTTTTGGACCCTTATTCTTGCAGTTGCTTAGTTCAACGCAGTGCACAAATGGGACTATTCAACATGCATCTTGGGTCAGCACTTACTGGCTCTACCCAAGGAAGGGGCTGCTGTGGGGCTGCTGGTCCTCCTGTGACTGCATGGCCAAGGCTGGCAGATGGACTTGGAAGACGCCTTGGACGGGTAGCATAAACCACATGCCCTGGCAGAAATGCACTCACCAAACCCACATAAATGCTGTCTAAAGGTGTAAAACTGAAAGGGCACCAGTTCAATTCATCCTGTTGAATTCAGGCGAAGTACTTGCTCAAGGGACAGATTCTCAGTTCCAAAAATATTGCTTCGACCTCTGAGCTGCCAAATTCCTTCCTCCATTACCTCCCATCTTTCTTTTCAGTATAGCAGCTACTCTGAGTCATTGTTTATCTAATTTAATTAACATTTGCCAGTGCCTGCAACCTAAAACACTGTCTTAAAAC